CTTTACTTAGCTCTCCCATTCTATGAAATATTAAGGAGGTGACTGAAGAGGAATGCACAGGGAGAAGCACCTGCAATTGGGTGTGGGTTGGGGAATGCAATCATGTTTTATATTGCAACCTAAATATGGGTGTAACATGAAACAAGGTATGGAATGTGGTCTATGCCTATGTAGCCTGGCCAGCAGTGCTTGACTGAATGCAGCCACAGGACCCAGGCTTTTCACAGGGCCAACCATTATGCTGTTCTCTCCCCAACCCCAATTGGACTGTGCACCTGGGTCAGGGGAGAGAGGAAGAAAGACTGTGGTTGGTTGCTGTCATGGCTGGAGCCAGCCCATCTTCTCGGAGGAAAGAAGGATTCCACTCTGGCTGCAGCTGCCAGCTGAGAGGAAGGTCTTCCCCACCAAATGTTATGTGGTTACAGGAAGGTGCCACTGATCAGTGATAGATGAAACTATAAGTCTCAGGTTCTGGGCTGTTGAGGCAGGAGAGACTGAAATCCTATGCTGGGAGAGGGGAAGGGAGAGAAGAGGATCTTGGGTCCAGTGCTTCTTGAAGGAAACTGGGGAGCTGTGAGTTGCTTAGAGACAGCATGGAGAACCCAAGAGAGATAGACAGTGCCATGGAGCCTGGGTGATTGGACTACGCTGCTGCTGAGAGAACTGTACTGCTCATATGGCTGCTGAGTGTGGAAGCCAACGTGACATGGGCTTCCATAGTTAACTTATCGAGGGACTGTGGCTGCTCCTAAGAGGGAAAAGAGATTGCCGTACAAGACTGTCAGAGAAGTGAGGGACCATTGGCCACCAACTTTGTCACCTTCCTGCCCTCTTGCTGGCATCCTTGGCATTCATTTCTTTGAAGAGAGCCATCCTCATTCTGGGATAATAAAAACCTTCTGAGCACTCTACTAAAGACTTTGGGCTCAAACGTCTGCCACCAACAGTTGTTTAATCACTGGTCAGTGGAGGCAAGGAGGGACTACAACTTTTATAGGGTCATGTACATTCCCCATTTGTTAGTACCCTGCACTAGGTGGGGCACACAACCCTGAGCTCTGCCTTTTTAACCAGGTTGTTGGATATACTGAGTGTGGAAGCCCACGTGACATGGGCTGCCATAGTTAGCCTATGGAGGGACTGTGGCTGCTCCTAAAGAGGAAAAAGAGATTGCCATACAAGACTTTCAAGAGTAGTGATGGGCCATTGGCCACCAGCTTTGTCACCTTCCTGCCCTCTTGCTGGGATCGTTGGCTTGGCACTCATTTCTTTGGAGAGCACCATCCTCATTCTGGGATAATACAAAACCTTCTGAGCACTCCACTTTGGACCCAGGTTGTTGGATATACTGTATGTTAACTCTTGTTATATTGCTTGCAATCTGTGCTATTGGTATATGCTGTTCAAATTGCCATTGCATAATAAAACAGTTATTTCTTTATCCTGTAGCCTTCTTTTAACCTCATGGTTTGATGGAGAGTGTGGCCATCCACACCAGGAACAGGAGTCAGGAACCCAGACATCAAGTGGCTCTTCGAGGGTGGCAGTACACCTTTAAGACCAGTACTGCATAGAATGCAAAAATATGAACAGATTGAAAAAGAGCTGCTAGTGTGTTTGCAACAAAGCAATTCTATCATGACATCAGTGGAGTCAGTGTAATATGATCATATACCACTCAACACCAGTGTGTCAACACTCATTGATCAAGCTCCTGTGAGAATACAAGGTGTTCCTTTAGTTACAGATATATGACTTGACTGTGACATATAGCTCTGGAAACTGATGGTTACTGCTCTCTAAAACAGCCTACACAAAAAGAATAGATAAAACGGAGTGACTTGGATAAGAATGTGCAGTCTACAGAACCCCTGAAAACGTAAAGTGGATCTAAACCCCAAAACAACAATGTAATATATTTAGCTTACAGGTTCTAAAATGGGGGGTCTGCATATGTTTTTTCAACCTTTTCTACCTTTTTTTTCACCTGGTGGTCCAAAACCAACATTTGCAAGGTGTGGTATACTATCGGATACTGCTGAATATTTGCATTCCAATGGAGAATTAAAGTGGTATAAAATCCAAAAACAAATATGTAATATATTGCAGCTTACCAATCACTAGATGTGGTGGCTGCATTGCTTTTCTTTGATTTTTTCCCTCTATTTTCAACAGGTGATCTGGCCAGTAACACACTTCCTCTGTTAGTGGGACACCACTCTGGATGAATGAGCACAGGGGGCACAACAGACAGCAGCATTGGCAGTCTGGCTGGGAGGGGTATGGTAAATGTACTAGCAGATTTAAATACACTAACAAATTGAAGCCAAACTCCTGCTCACACTTTATAATCAGTTACAGCAAACAGTTCTTTTCCTTACATTATTAAATAAAAGCTGATCGTTTTAAGCTCTCCTGTCAGTGTGAAAGTGTTAAAAAAACCCACAGCATTAAAATCAGTCTGTATATGCAGTAAAGCATGCTTGTTATACTCACTGTGGAACCTAAGGGGTTAATCCTCTGTGTTGTGTAAAAAGTTCCCCATTTCATCTCCTGATAAACACAGCCTCAGGGACACTATGCACATGCTCGATTTGGTGTGTACTGCTAGAGAGGTTTTTCTTTTTCTTGGGAGGGTGCATGTGATCAGCACAGGGCCAATCAGCACTGTCCAGACAGAGGGTCAAGGGTTATGCAATCTCATAGTCAGAGGAGAATGAAAACTCCTACAAGCTTTAACCAGTGCTCAGCTGGACAGTCATAGAAGTCACAAGAGTGCTTGAACTGCTGATAAGAAAAGGTATTTTGCACTTTACACTTACTAAAATAATTGCATTTTCATGCTCTGTGCACTGTGGGAGACCAGATATAATGAATGCAAGATCCTGGGTTTAGTAACACTTTCAATGATTTGTCTCATCCATGTAAATGGATTAGTTCTCCCAGAGACCTTGTGTTTTTGAAAAACAACTTTCTGGGTGTATCACCAGATGAAAACAGAAGAAAGAAAGCCTAAAAAGAAAACAAATGCAGCCATCACATCTAAGAATTAAGCTGTAATATAATAAATGTTTGCTTTTGGGTTCAATATTGCTTTTAAACTACTGTACCTAACTCCAGCCCTGCCGCCAATAGACAAGCTGATGAGATGATTCAGATCCTAAAAAAAGGCATTCACCACAGATGTTAATCCACACTTAGTGCTTTCTTTGTCTGTGGAATACAGCTATCTCTAGAACAAAGGTATCCCTATTCAACTACATCTGTACACAGCACAGGCAGTCAGATGTTTTAAAGAAACATCAATTTTATTTTTAACCAAAACATTTTTTTATAATTCACAACTGGAAAGGAAAAGGCTGGAGAGCCACAATTATTAAATGCCTGATTATACTTTGTACTACAAGGAAGAAGAGGCCATCAAACCCTTCAAAGCTAAAAGTACCCACTTGAGCTCTGGAAGAGTTTACCACCTTCATGACCAGGCCATTTTGTGCGCTACTTTAACTGGTAATTGCACAGTCCCACAATGCTGAACCCAAAAAACTAAATTTATATATTGTTTCACACAAATAGGGCTTTTTTTTCTTTTCTGTTTTTTTTGCAATATAAACAAAAAAGACCCAAAATTGTGAAAAAAAAATTCACAATATTTTCTACTTTTTGCTATGACACATATCCAATAAATATTTAGAAAAATCAAATTTCTTCATAAACTTATCAAAATGCATTCTACTACATGTAAAATAAAATCCCAATAAGTGTATATTGATTGCTTTGCATGAAAGTTATAGCTTCTACAAACTATGGTATATGTACTGGAATTTTTATTTATTTATTTTTTTATACTAGTAATGGTGGCGATCAGCTACTTATAGAGAGACTGAGATAGTGTTGCAGGCAATCGGACACTAATGGGGTTATTTACTAAAACTGTATGGTGTAAATGCTGGTGCAGCTCTGCAAAGAAACCAATCAGCTTCCAGGTTTTATTGTCAAAACTTAATTGAACAAGCTGAAATTAGAAGCTGATTGGCTACCATGCACAGCTGCACCAGATTCTGAGTGCTCCAGTTTTTGTAAATCTCACCCTAACTGACATCTCTGGTGATACAGAGATCAGTACAAATAATATACACTGTCACTGTACTAATGACACTGGCTGGGAAGGGGTTAACATCTAGGCAGTGATGGCGAACCTTTTTGAGCCCGAGTGCCCAAACTGCAACACAAAACCAACTTTTTTATTTCAAAGTGCCAACACTGGAATTAATCACTTGCCTACCGGGCACTTCTACCCCCTTCCTGCCCAGGACAATTTTCAGCTTTCAGTGCTGTTGCACTTAACAATGACAATTGTGCGGTCATGCAACACTGTAACCATATGCAATTTTTATCATTTGTTCACACAAATAGAGCTTTTTTTGGTGCTATTTAATCACCACTGGGTGTTTTATTTTTTGCACTATAAATGAAAAAAGAGCAAAAAATTAAGAACATAAAAGGTTTCCTTTGCTTCTATGCTAAAATTTTGCAAACAGGTAATATTTCTTCTTTGATGTGCGTTGGTGAGGCTGCACTGATAGGCAGCACTGATGGGCATTGATGAGGTGGCACAGGTAGGTAGCACTGATGAGGCGGCACTGGTGAGCATTGATGAGGAGGCACTGATGATGCACTGATATGCAGGAAATGATGGGCACTGATAAGCGGCACTGACTGATAGCACCAACTGGAGGCACTGACAGACGGCACTGACTGGCGGCACTGCTGGGCATCATTTATGGGTGGCACTGATGGGCAGCACTAATGAGGTGTCACAGATAGGTGGCACTGATATGCGGCACTGGTTGGTGGCACTGATAGGCGACACTGATAATGGGTACTGATAGACAGCACTGATAGGTGGCACTGACTGACATCACTGCTGGGCACTGACTGGCACAACCGCTGGGCACTGACTGGTGGCACTGACTGGCAGCACTGCTGGGCTGCACTGATGGGCACTGATGGGTGGCACTGGTTGGGCACAGGTGGGTGGCACTGGTGGGCACAGGTGGGTTGGCACAGGTGGGTGGCACTACTGGGCCAGGTAGGTGGCACTTCTGGGCACAGGTGGGTTGCACAGGTGGGCACAGGTGGGTGCATTTCTGGGCACAGGTGGGCGCACTGCTAGGCACAGGTGGGCGCGCACTGCTGGGCACAGGTGGGTGCATTGCTGGGCACAGGTGGGCGGAACTTGTGTGTGGCACTGCTGGGCACGATCATCAGGGCACTGATCATCAGTGACCCTGATGATCTGTGCCGTTCCCTGCTCTGACAACTGCCGGTTTTCGGCAGTACTTTCCTCACGATCTGACAGCGTGAGGAAAGTGCAGCCAAGAACCGGCATTTGCATTTCCCGGTGATCAGCGTGTCATTGGACACGGCTGATCACATGGTAAAAGGCCGCTGTGATTGTCCTTTTACCACGTCACGTGATCAGCTGTGTCCGTAGGACACATCGATCATGGAGATCGCCCGGTGCGCGCCCCCGGGGGTGCGCAGGAGAGCGCGTTCTTCCTCTTCTTCCTGGCGTGCCCACTGAGATGGCTCTGCGTGCCAGCTCTGGCACGCGTGCCATAGGTTCGCCATCACTGATCTAGGGCAATCAAGAGGTTAAATGTATGCCTAACAATGTTTAGTGTTTGTACTGTGTACTGTATTACTAAGCAATGTGCTGGTTTTTACTCCCTGCTTTGAAAGGATAAAAAAAGACACATCGCGCGTGTTTGAAGAGAGCTCTGTGTAGTTTACCAACAACCCGGTAATTGAGAACAATATTATCTCTCTCCATGGAATAATGCATATGCTGCATATACAGAATAACAAAGCTTGGTCATTCACAGATCTACTTGTGTGTCTATGTTGAATAAAGAAATTATCATATGCCACCAACCACCAGCCCCTTTGAATTATTATTTAATGTGAATATATTTAAACAAACCCAAGATTCCAGTTGAGTCCACATCTAGTCGTATTTTTATGCAGATTCTGATTATGTTTTTGACTAGGGACTCCCGGTTTACTCATTACTACTAACCCTTTTTTGGGGACCTTGAGGCCTCTTTTTGGAGGTTTGGTAGAAATAGGGGATGCAGTTGAATTTACATCAGCATCACTCAACAAAGAAGAAGAGTTAAGGCTACAGAAGTGCACAGTTTCACAAAGACTCCATCTTTTATAGCACTTTGGAGTAGATAAAAGTGCCTTGAAGCTGAGACCAGAATTCTGTACTTTTAGGATTTCCCCTGTGAAGCAACCTCTGTGATCCTCTTACATGAGCCAACATATTTTCTGCTCAGTTCCTAGTCCTTAGGATCCTCCAACAGCAGACTCACCTCTGGCACTCTGTTTCCAAGCATCACTCTCCTCTGTGAGGTTTTTTTACTCAGGACACTCTGGCAGCAGGATCTCTCCTGAACCAACAGACAACTTCAGGCCATATCCCAGACCTTGTATCATATGCATGATACTCCTAGGCCACAGGTCTAGCTGGATAGTAGAGCACCGGTACACTACCCCCCCCCCCCCCCAAGGCCGAATCCAAGGGAAAGAGAGTCTAACAGATATTTATGTCCTCCAGCAGCATGCAACACTGGCAACAAAACTCCTAGTGGTTGGCCCGAACAGAGCACAGATATTCATACCTGTTGTCACTCCCCTCCTTAATATTAGACACAATTAGTTAGAATTAGGAACGCCAAAGGAGAACAACACCATCTATCAGTTAGGCACTAACTGGATACAGACAGGTAGTACTGAATTTCAAAGCTACTCCTTTCTAAGGCAGGGTATATTCATATGCTATAAAGCATTGATCTTGACTGAGAAGCACAGTTTCCACTAGGTTTCTAGGAACTGGCAAACCTCTACTGGAGTACCACAGATTGGGCAGTATACAGTATGTTACAATGGACCACTAAAGTTTTGTCCATATTTCATACAACTGGCTACCAATGATGTTATCTACAGGATTAAGAGCTTTCCACTAGATCATCAGAAACTCGGCAATCTACTTTTGGACTGGACTATCAGGGATTAGAAATTTGTGTTCCATCAAACCTTTTTAGGAAGATCAAGTGCATAGTTGTTTCTGAAGATTAACATGTGTGCATAGTGCAGCTCTTGGTTCAGTTCATTTTCATGCACATGCTTATAAGCATTAGTTAGCTTGGCTGTCTAGCACTAGGTTTGGCACCCATAGCCCTATAAAGAATTTTTGAGTGGTTGTCTGTTCGTGACTCATAGCCAGACCAGCACTCTATTATGTTCAGTTTGACCAGGCTTGCCTCCTGACTCTGCTTTATTCTGATCCCCTGTTGCTGACCTTGGTTTGTATCCTGACTTCATCCTCTTCCTGCTGTTTTGATACTTTTGATGCTCCTCCAATATCAATTCTGGCCTGGCTACCTGGTTGTTCCTGGCTTTCGCTTATCTTGACTACAGCTTTGCTTGCTGAACCTGTATCTTGCTGTGCTCCATCTGTGTGTCAGCATTCTGCACCAGTTCCAGTATAAGTATCCGCAGCATTCCTACATATCCAGACTTATTTCTGACCACCCACTGTAGCAGGACCTACCACAGGCACCCATGCCACTCCTTCCCTGCTACATTCTGTCACCAACTCCAGCGGCTATTGGACAGGAGATGTAAGTAAAGCCCTCTCATTAGCTCAGCCTATCAGGTATGTGGCAAAGCCCCAAACAACTATCCAGATATCTTCCAGTGAGTCACTAAAGAATAGCTTGCAAGGAATGGACAATATAGTCCAGCAGAGACTAAGAAGCGTACTTTCTAGTGCTGGCAAAATACTGTAGTTTTTTATGGATAATATATCAGATCATTTATCTCCTTTTTAGTGATGAGCCTAATGCCCAGGGTTTGGATTCGGGGTAAGTTTAGAAGCTTAAAGTAGAAGAAAAGGCTAGTGTTTAAATAACTTCCCCAAATTCCTTGGTGTGCTGGTGACATTCTCCCTTGTTGATTCTGTTCGGTTGCAGCCGACGGTCGCTGCAGCACCCACTTATACACACAGCCATTTTTAACGCAGGAACACGTGCGGCTGGTTTGGGAGTGAAAGGTGGGTGAGTACGTGCGGCTGGTGGGGGAGTAAAGGGTGGATGAGTACGTGCGGCTGGTTGGGGAGTGAAACAAAATCCAAAGAATAGGTGAGAATCCGTGATAATCGTGTTGCAATAAACGAGTGTAGATTGCACTAACCAGAGGGCGCAAATGAATGCACGTTTGAGTATATTAAACCCCCACCAACCCTCCTCAAATCAAATCCAGCTTTAGAGGCAAATCTTTAACATTTATTTTATGCCCCATTAAAACAGTTAAGGGGTGTGATTGCACATTATCTACTAAATACAATAAGGGAACATGTTTATTTTTGGCTACATTTCCCAAACAAACTATAAATAGAACATTAAGGCAGGAATCAGACCTTTGTTGGCAAACAATGTTAGCCCATCCTTATGTGTAAGCTTGTTTAAATCTGCCTGTACCTTTTTTCATTATAATGCATTGCAGTCACATGACTAAAATGCCTCTCCATTCATACAGCTAGGGCAGTTGGTTGGCATGCCTCCTTTCTCCTGTTAGAGCACTCTCATGAATGAGTAAACTTGTGCAACTTCATTCATTAGAATACATAAGAAACCATAGATGGGGCGGAGCCAGGTGTGACCGGACAGAACTGCAGAGGCGAGGCTGGGTTGGAGAGGCAGGCTTGAGAAGAACGGTGCTGTGCTGCTTGCACAATCACCGATAATGGTACCAGGATGTGCCTGTGAACAGCCACATTTGCCTGCACAAGCACACCATTGTCAATGAAGTACAGAAGAATTGCAGATTGTCTAGATTAGACAATTGTTTATAACAGTCATTCAGCAATTACAATAATGTATAATATTAATGTTTATTATATTATTTATACTAATCAAGTGTAGATTTTTTGGTTTTGACTGGAATTCCACTTCCACGAATGTCCAGGTGTCAGATCCAAACCCTATTAAAGTCAATAGGAGCGTAGTTTTAAAAATCATTAATAGACATTTTCCAAGCAAATAAACAAGGGATTATCAGACAAATAGCATGGGACCTTAGGGAACATACACCACAGTATTTTTTTTCTTTTATTCCACTTGGCAGGGAGCAGCAGTTTAAAAAAAATACAACATTAAAAATAAGTGAATAGTAAAACTGACATTTACAAAGAAAAGAAAACGCTGTTTAACCAGTTCAGCTCTAAGGCATTTTATTTTACATTTTTTTTTGCACATATGTAAAAACCTTCAATTTTTTTAAATAACCCTAAAATGCCAGATGCTGATATGACGTATGGCAGGGATCAGGATGCTTTTATGGTGGTGATCAGGACATTATTATGGGGTATGACGGTGATCAGGACACTGGTATCGCGCGGTGGTCAGGACACTGGTATGGCATATGGGGTGATCAGGACGCTGGTATGGTGGTAATCAGGATCCTGGTGGGGGTATGGCGGTGATCAGAACATTAGTATGGAGTATAGTGGTGATCAGGATGATGGTATGAGATATGACAGTGAACAGGATGCTGGTATGATATATGGAGTGATCAGAATGCTGGTATGGGGCATGGCATTGATCAGGATGCTGGTATGGGGCATGGCAATGACCAGTATGCTGGTATACGGTATACGGTATGGCAGTGATCTGGGTGCTGGTATGGGGTATGGCAGTGATCAGGTCACTGGTATGGTCATAATTAGGACATTGGTATGGCAGATGGCGGTGTTATTGTGAGCACTGGAACAGGTGACAGGGGCTAGATGTATTATTTATTGACTGCACTAGGGCAGTGATCAGGGACACTGGGTTGGCTGGCACAGCAGTCTGTGAGTGTACATGCATTGTAACAAGCTGCTGTACACTTACAAGCTGCAGCATGGGTTCTCTCTGCTCTCATAGTGATAGCAGAGAGAACCGATCTTTACACTTTCACTGTTTACTATGTGATTGCTGTGATTGTACACAGCAATCACATGGTAAAACACCATGTGATCACCTGGACACAGCGGTAATGTGATCCATACTGATCACCAGGCACCCGAGTGCACGCTGTGTGAGTCGCGCAGAAGCCACTGATGCTGGCTGACGTACTGGTACGTTAGCCTGCATAGGCACAGCTTCCCGTTAGTCATCTATAGACTATGGGTGGATGGGAAGCGGGTTAAAAGCCTTTACAGCTCATCACTTAGAGTAAACTAACTAACACTTGTGCTAGAATGATGATAGGTCACGCGAGTGGTAGAGCCATGGTTTTCATATGCATTTGCGTGTGTTTGCAGGGCAGTAGGGATTGTGGCAATTT